TTCATTGTAAATGGGGACAGTTACATAGATGATAAGTACAATTTCAGAACAATTTATTATTTCATTTGGTCAATTCGTGGTAACCGATATCCTAAATCTTAGATAGACAAAAGGATTAACATTAAATTTGAGAAACGATTCTATTCTGGTGAAGGATATGTTCTAAGCACTGTGTTTATTTTCATTCAATTAATTTCTTTGATAGATTATTTACAGGTTACTGTACTTACAGAATAGAAGATGACCATCCGGAAATTTTTACTGATTGGTAGCTATATTTGACGCAATTCATCATTCTGAAAAGAAATTTGTGAGTTATCTATCCAGTGAAAGATTTTGGGAAAATACTTTATTCTGAATGAAGATTCAATACTTTTGTTCAGTCTAGTAACATGTGAAATTTTTGAAAATGAAGTTTGTGAAGATCAAAGCATTTTTGGTGTAGTTTGTGAAATAACTATGAATCTTCATCAAGTAACGGCCGAATCAATCAGAAAAATTACTTTCAGACAAACTGGAAGAAAAGCTCTCTCAAAACAGCTACTTTCATATCATAAACAATGAATTACGAATATACTTTCTGAACCAAAAATTAATCTCTCCTAAAAATATACCTCTTTCTATTCAAATTCTTTTAAAGTTTCATCAATTCTTTATAGTTTTTGAAATATTTGCAAAAATCTAAATACTTTGTTCTCAAGTCTTAATCTGTTCACATTGTGTGCAATTTGTATGTGCTAAAAAACGGTTTTAGCACTTTTTCTAGATATCATGGCCAGTCATTTCAGGGGGTTTGCCTATGAAAATGGACATACCCAGCTGTAAATTTGTATGAACTTTATATTTTGGCATCATAAAAGTATTCTCAAAATTCACATATGATTCGACGGCCGCAACTTCAAAAATTGGCGGTCAAAAGTAAAAAAAAAAGACTTTTTACACGTTTTTTGCCAATATCTCGTTTCCAATGGGTTTTATGCTAATTATATTCATTATCAATATTGTAGAGAATTGAATTCTCTACTTTTGTTGTGAACATTTTTCCATACGTTGAATCGTTTTTGAGATAGAGGGCAACGCGAGCGCAGATTAAATATTATTTGAAATCAACTGGTTGTCTCGATCGAAATCAGCTCATTTGAGGTTTATAAATTATTACTCAATAAATAATTTATTACCAA